GGGAGGGGTAATAGGGAGATGGATAGGGATGGGGATAGGGAGAGGGAGAGGAGGAGGAGAAAGGAGGAATGGAGGGAGTAGATTTCATGGGGTTGGATTGGTTAGGATGGAATTGTATTAGATGGATGTTGGGATTTAGAGTTAGATGCTGGTATGGATTTGATTTGAATCGCCTTTCAAAACGAATCATTGCATGATATTGTTAGAATCATTCAGAACAGGATAATAATTAGCGCAGTGTTCATGTTCATTCAGCTTGATATTCTAAGACTCAAAATATTCGTAGAATCCCATCATTACTCGAGTATACAAATAATAATCATCATCATCATCATCTACACCTACATCCACACCTACATTTACACAATACACATCATATCATCACACCATATCATCAATCATCATCAAACATACATCATCACAAGCACAAGCACTTCTCAAACATAACCCCATAATCGAGGTGAACAGATAATAGGTATTTTAAATCATTATCAAGCCATATACATGCCACTCCCCACTCCCCACTCCCCACTCCCCACTCTCCACCCCATCTGCCATATCCCATAAACCATATCATACTCCATAAACCACGCAACAAAACACACAAAAAACACAGATTCAAGACTTTCAACAACGCCCAAAACACCACTCATGCACGCATGCTAACAATATATGTGATATGATGTGAAGTGACATGACATGGTATCCAAACCCTCAGCTCCCTCCCGCATGAAGCATCAATTCATATACGCTTTACTTCGCTTTGCTCCGCTTGAACCCCATTGAAAATTTTCGTAAGATGCCCAAAAAACAATGGCGACAATGGAAACGACGACGCTAAAGGGGTGCCTACGTATCTATAATCCTATCCTATCCCATCCCATCCACACCCACAAACGCCTATTCATCAGAGGTATATGCCAAAAAAATGAATGCGATCTAAGGTATTATATCATAACATGCCATATTCTCCCAACTTTCTTCTTTCCAACAAAACGAAATTCCAATAATTATATTCCATGATACTTTTGTACAGTTGATCCATCATTTCATTACAAAAGGTCGGATTTGGTATCCATCCCTGAACCCACATCCTGGTTACTCCGATATTTTCTTATCCATGTTATTTTGATATTTATCCGAGCTATTCCATTTGGAGAATATGCCACCACTAGCTTTAGGACTGATGCTTCTTCCTCTTTCTGGTGTTGCTATGCTGTGTCGTCTAATATGACTTGTGCCCTTATCCCGATGACTATTTGGGATTGTTGGGCCTGGATGAAGGAGGCTGCTTAGGAAGCTCGATGGTGGAGCTGGCCGCTCCGTGGCTGATTTTTGAACACCAGTGTTGACGGCTGCGAGGTCCGTTGCATTGCTAACCATTGTTGCGTTGGAGTTTCGACGGTGAACCCGTTGTGCTGCATCTAGAGCCTCTTTCTCTGCTAAATGTTCGCTTGGGAGTAAGATGGCTCGGTCAAGCTCGTACGGAAGACCACGATGACGTCCACGAATTTGCATAGCGATCATGACAAGTTTTGAGACTGTGTTGAATTCGGCGGACAAAGAGGCGTCGATTCCCGGGTATCCTAGACTCAGGCCAACTGTACCATAGGCACTGACAATCTCAAATAAGACGGAAAACATGTTAATCGATGGATCAGTACCTTGAAGGCGGCCACCTTCAGCAATTGAGATGATGAAAAACCCCAAGAAAATATACCACAAATCGAAAGACAATTGCCTTCGGAGATGGGCACCGACGTAGGATGGTTCACCCTCATCTTCATTTTCTTCTGTTGGCGATCCGTATATACCCAAGGATTTCTCCTCGTAAACGTTCGTTCGACGTACCGAAATGGCAATCGGGAGAACCGAAATATACATCATAATGAGATAGGAAACCTGGATGGCAGGATGAAGCTCGGCAAGATTGACGACTCCAAAACCAGCTGTTCTTGTGGAAGCAGCTTGGAACCAGCCATCGAGGACGCGAATATTCACTGGTAAATCCGTCACAATCGTATTGCCAAGCTAAGACAGGCTATCAGTAAATCAAAAAGACTCGTGAGGCATGACAAGACTTACATCGAGGATAATGAAAAACAATAAGTCCAAACCGTTTAATATGACAAGAATCCAGAAGAGCCACCATGTCGCTTTGCTCGGGAAAAGAAGGGTAAAGCATCTACGAGGATGATCTAGCAAAAACCTCAGTTCCTCCCAAATCCCACTGTTCCTAGGCACCCACAAGGTGGTAACCCAAATAATGAATCTGAGCATAATGGGAAAGCCCGTGTTGCCAATTATGATCAGAAATGACATTAGCAAGAGTGGCCAAATAGCTGTATTGAACGAGATCATGCTATCTGGAGTAAGGGTAAATCCCAGATCCGTGAAAGCAGAATTGGCGGTGAATATACTCCACCACACCCTGCCCTGACCAATTTCTTCCACAATTGAACCATAGGTGTTATCGTTAAGAATCCAAGGCAATAGACAAACAACAGCGAATATACTAAACCCTAGGAAATAACAAGACAGAATCAAAGCCAAGGATTTTAGTGATCTATACTCAATTCCGCCGAGTTCTTCTCTTTGTTGCTCAGTGAGATCAACGAAGGCGGAATTACGACCGATGGTTGGTGCCCAGCTCAAATAAGGTGTTGGGTCCTCCTTTTCGCCAGTAAGAGCTGTTTTGATGCTTTGAAACGTTGGAGCCCTCGACCTCAATTTTGACATGACAGCCCCATTTCCATGATTCTCGACGACTTCGTTGCCCTCAATGGTTCTGTTACGCCGAAATCTCATAACACCTTTAAGTGTAGCACTCGCAGCTTTCACATCATCAACCGTACGTTCAACCTTGGGATGTGTTGGCACTTCAATCGTGACATTGCGCTTCCTCGAGGGGTAATGATCTTGCCAGTGTGTCTCTCCATTCAAAACCCCCCTATCATGGCTTCCTCGTCGAGAATACGCAGAGCCTCTGCGAGATAATGTCCTTATAACCGGGTCCTCCTCCTCCTCTTCAACGGTTTGTGGGGAGACACCTGCATCTGCATCTCTTGGTCCTGGGATACGAAGGATAGTCCTGTCCTCTGGATTTCGTTGACGTTCCAGAAAGGCAATGTGATCTTCATCTCTGCGGCGAGCCGGTAATCGCAACTCTTCATCAGTCATTCCATTACTCCTCTTTACTTGATCGGCAAACTTAATTTGTGTTTGGTGGGAAGTGGGGATAACGTCGTTGGCCGTCTCCGTACTCGATATATTGCTACTTCCAGAACCATTAACGCCCTCAGCCTTATTCATTGCCCTTTCTTTCTCGATTGCCTGTTCGATATCCTCAATAGCCTCCCGATCATTGTGCATAACATTCGCCCGTGTTGTGCCGTGCATTACAACAATGTTTCTGCCATTCACACCTCTCTCCTCATCGGTAGTATCTCTCCCACTTGTCTTCGATCTTGAGAAGGACTTGGCAATGCTCCTTCGATTCTTCTTATTTTGAGCAGCAATGTGCTGGAACCGCTTTTCGAACCAGTATAATCGGAGGAACACAACGAACGAATTGATCGTGATGGGATTCGTGAATATCGGTAATAGATATAGAACAGTTTGCTGCCATGTGTTGAGTTGATTAAGATTCAAGGTGTTTAATCCACTTTGGGTTGCACCACCACTTGCGAAGAATAGAGCATCTATGTAATCGATTCCTCCTCGAATATATAAACATAGTGACCCAAGAAGTGTCATTCCAATGATCCAGAAATCTATTCACGGCATAGAATTAGTATCGTTACACAATGCGGATGGTTCCATTCGGCTATTTGAGTCTTTCTGAACTTACAATGAACAGTGATGAAATTGAAATGAGGACTTTTGGAGATAAAAGAAGGCTTAAGAGCCGCGATCTGTTGCCATAGTTCTAAGAGAAGGGTGAACATCTTGGTGGCCTTGGAAGAAAAAGCTTGAAGACGCTGACGTTGTCAGCGCTTCGCAATGCGCTCTTGAGATATATCGAAAGTATCCGCTACTCAAGTACGACGAATATCCGACTCCCCGTTTGCACGGAATACATTGTATAAGAGTTACAGACCCGAGGAAGTCGCAAAGGAAGTATGCGAAAGACTCCTCAGAAGGTGCGTTGTAGCTTTTTATTGTGGCGAAGCAAAAATAGAAAGAAGCTTTCGATGGGGTTAAATATGACGAAGTCTGCCAGAGAGTGGTCTTTGTTGATTTTGTCAAATTTGGCGAAAAATGGAGACGGGTGTGATCGTTTCTTTAGCTTCGTCCTTCGAATCGTAATGCACCGAATGATTAATCGTCTGAAGAACCCCCTGATGAAGTTGGTACAATTCGACAGGTCAAAAGGGAATATTGTATGATAAGATAAGAAAAGAAAAGAAAGAGAAGGGGCACATTGAATGAGAAGAAGAGGAGGAAGAAGGAAGAAGACGATGAGATTGGGGATGGATATGTTTACCTATACGAGGTAACAAGGAGTGAATAAGATTAATAAGTTCTCCGAGAGTATCAGTATAGTACTATCGGCCAGCTAGAACGGCTGTTAGTTTGTAATCTAGCTGAGAGAGTCCACATTGCTAGCCTCCCACGCTCCCACCCTTGTAGTAGGCAAAGATTTTATTTTTTTATTTCATCCCTGTAGAAAACGGGTTAATGAGATCGTCACCGTCATTCTTGCATGTGTTCTAGTCCCCGAAAGATCTTCCAACTTCATATCAAAATGATAAGATAACGGCGGCTATTTGACGCGATGAGATGCAGTTCGTTCTCCATTTCAAACATTTGCCGGTATTCTCTCTTTCATAACGGTCTAATGTTTGGAAGAATATCGATAATTGTCTCTCCAACGATACCAATGTTCGAAATGAAGAAGCCCTTCTGATAGTCTCTCTTCAATGTCTTCATACCACGTTGCTCTCATAACATCGGACGGTTTGATATTGTAAGTAAACGATCATTTTGAGTTATTTCACCAGAGATAGTACTACATTCGGAGAAAACAACCTATTACATCGAGTGTTGCAGATCTTGTACATTGGCTACACCGATACACCGGTACTTCAAAACGTCAGATAAGAAGTCTTGGAATTCTGAAGTATGCATTATTTAGCATGTGAGCATCCGCTACTGTGATACAATTTCACCCAGGATATCATGCATCCAATAATCAGCTTACGGATTTCATTATTTAACGAGAATTCCGCTTTCTCCTATTGGTTTCCCTTTCACCGTTACAATTCACCGTTACGAAACGTTATGGGTTAATATTATGTATCACGATCGGACAAGTACGGGTCGTACCATAATAGCAAGCAGTTGGAATTGAAGCTGTACATTCACTCAGCACATCATCGTCTAATATAAAAAAGTAAGACTTACAATCAGAATCACAACCACCACTAATAACTATCTCGTCAAAATCTCATCGGATTTCACCCATAATCCAGAATAGACTCGGACACGATGTTACACCATCTCAAATACCGAAGTTATGAATCTCAAATCGCCAACACCCATCTACTCGAGTAGTCACAATATTATACCATCTCAAATACTTATACTGAAACCATGAATATCGAATCACCAACATGTACCTATAGCTAACCCCAACCCAATACAGGAATTATACTCGCCCATTTTCACACCTAGGCCATCTCATCTCATCTCATGCTCACAACCAGTCCATGTGTACTTCCAAGCTAAGAATGAATACCATACCTACCTACCTACCTACCTATCTACCTATCTACCTAACTATATACCTACCTATATACCTATCTACCTACCTACCTACCTACCTACTACCCACCTCGCGGCTCACAATCTATTCACCGCAAAGGCCCCAATATTCTTGGCGCCCATCTAATCCCAGAAGGAGCAGCAAGACTAAGCCTTCCTTCCATATATATATATGACATATCACTGACACCATTACCGGTATTGCATGACCTTCAGGCATCAAATAACACCATACCTATCCCAACAAGTATCCACCAGGATCGATACTGTAACTTACTAGTCTGTAAGGCCTCCAACCAAAATCTTTCCATGAGCACGTTTCAATATGCTGTGGGGAAAGGACAATTTCTGACAGGGTCGATCACATCCATCTACCGTTAGCAACAAACGCCGCGGCGTCTAATTTTTTTTTCTTTTCTTTAGGGTCAATTCATTCTCTTGGCATTTAATATATTTTTCAGATGATAAATTTATTTTTCATATATCCCTATGTACTCATTGTATTAAGCTTAAACCACACATGGCATGAGCCTATTCATGTTCTATTCCCTTTTCTAATATATATTTAGTCGGCTCTCTAGAGATCAGCCGCCTATTCCAGTCAAAGAAAGCGAATATCCTGTACAAACAAAAGTCCGGCTTATATATTCAACAGATTTAATACAGGTCATGCAAATTATTCAAAATGTTCAAAACGTGAATATGTAGGTAGACAGCCGGTTGAATAGATCAACTCCAACTCCAACTCAACTCACCTCAACTCACGAAAAACACACATCATTGCCGAAATGCCAGTTATCAATACAGTAGACCCAAGACGAAACGTTTCCCCCATTATCTCATTCCCAAAAACATAATTATAGCATACAGTTTTTACACTTCTAGATTCACAGTCTGACTTCGAGATTCCCGTTTATTATGGATGATTAGGACACATTTACTACTAGAATACCCCTAGGACTTTTTATATCCAACTATGTGTGGTGTTTTGAGGGGCTTTTGTAGTCTTGTAATCAGTTCTCACCCGATTTTGGTATTTGAAATTGCTCAAAGTGATTTCTTATGTATACCATAAATCTTATGTGCAACTAGCCTAATCTCTTATCTTCTCCCTATACGCCCACGCTGAAGGGAGTTTCGCATATGGATGCCCATGTCATTGCCAAACTGCGTGCACGTATGGAAACAAACAAGTTTTGCGCCTACTTCCTTGCATTATACGACTGTTCCCTGATCATACCTAATCTATGGCGGTCCATTAAATGATTGCACTCCTGCCTCCCAACGGCGAGTCATTTCTTGTAGATCCTCCTGTCCCAGTCCGGACAATACCCCCTCCAACACCGCCACCTGTAGCCGTACCACCCTGTGTCACACCCCGCAAATTCATACTACCAAGCCTACTCACAATATTACTACCCACAGCATCAACTGCACCCCTCGGGGAACTAAATGTAGGTCCATGTGCTGCTACTTCTTGTACCCGAAACAATTTGATCGCCGTACCATTCCAAACGCCTATGGTACCCTTCGCAACCTGCATTTCGGATGTGAAGACGAATGCCCAGAGTAGAGATTCGTACCAACCAAGTGATAATGGTGTCCACTCAAAAGAATGAATGCGAATGTCTGTAGTTTCTATTCCTCTTATTTCGGCGTTCTGAATCGTGCGGAGAATATTGTTCGAGGGAATATCAGAAGGATTATTAGGATTTGAAATTAGTGAATCAATTTGATCAATTAGGGTCAAGATTGAATGGAGCGGGAGCTCAGGAAGCCATGTTTCTATCCATTGAGGCGTAGGTTCAAATGCACCACTTGACGAAAATGCTGCGTAGCTGCTTAAGCTTGTTGTACTATTGTGCCTGGAAAATGTGGGCATTCCAGCTATTGCTAGTTAGTAACTTTATATTCAGTGACCTCATGCGGAAATGAGAATACATACCAGGCATTTTACCCCTGGCTTTCTCTGACATTCCCCGCAGCTGCGTTGGAACTGTATCATCAAAGCTTGAAGATACGGATGAAGCCCTTGAGGGATGTTCTGTAGGAGTGGATGCTGCCGGAGTAGGACGTTCCTCGCCATCACTATCTTCGTCTTCATCGTCCCCAATCGCGAACGTATCCTCCTCCGGTACATTACTAAGTGCTGACGATACTCGTTGGTGGCTTACAGACGGACTCCGCATACTATCCGCAGAGCCCCTCTCATTTTCTACATCTCCTAATTCGGCTAGACGCTCTTTCTTTCGCCTATTTCTTCTTTCGATCTCTTCTTGGCCACTCTCCAAGGTAAAATGCCGTAAAGCTAACTCAGAGTCAGTTGACCCTCTAGCATATAAAGAATGATTGTATACCTTCGAATTTCTTTTTGTTCCTCAATATAGTGTACACAAAATTGGGATTGTCTGAATTATTGATTAGCTTTCAACCTTGATTGGAGATATGTTCTCAATTAAGCAACTCACTAGGGTACTGGTGTTCGATGATAGCATTCATACTCTCCAACAGAGATTGAAGAAGATCGTGATTACTGTCGTTCGATAACATAAATCCTGGTGATGACATCGATGCAAATAATTGCAAGAGTTTTGAAGATGTTGAAGCGCTAATATTCTCCAGATAAGCAGCAATATTATTTATCACTGCTAATAATGCTGGATAAATGGCTGTCAGTTTTCCTTGGCTTGTTGTTATTATATTGTAGATGGACTATTCTCGGTCAGTATTGGCAAAAGACTTGATGTTTGAAGGATGCCTACCTGTATAAGGAAATCGGCGTATGTCCCGTTGAATGACTGAAGTCTAATACTCGGTGGTAGAGTATCTTGGGCTTCAAATCTCTTGTTTAGATTCTTGCCAAAGTTCGGCTCCACACTCAAGGTCTGTAAGATAAAAATACACATCCGTACAACGCCTTGCTTGGATGCATCTAGTCTGTATTCAAGAGAATAGAATACAATTAAAATAACGAAATCGTGTGACCGATCTGTATCAATTAGAAAAGATCTGAATCGTTTATTACACTGGGTGATTTCCCAGAATAGCATGATCATCTCTGAAGCACATTTTGTGTATGATTGACTCCCGGAAATATAGGAGGTGGTAGCGTTCATAGGCTGATTCAAGATTCTTGTCATTCCTTCTACAATGAACTGAAAATCTTGGGGTCTATGTAAACGACCAAGGAAATGACGGAAATAATCTAATGATGTTAGTTGAATCCATAGACACGACGATATCAGAATCTTACTTTTCTTGGTTTGGGCTGGACCAGATTCAGGTATTGGATATAGGAGAATGGCAAGCAGAAACTACGAGTTCAAGCATTAGATTCTGAGACTGACGGATGACATGCTGACTGACCTGCAATGCATATGTGACTAGTATCTGTTTCGGATCTTTGAAAACTTGCACATTATATGGTACTTGCCATTTTGCCGGGTTGTATTTCAGGGTCTTTATCAAAGTTGTTAGTTTTCATATATGAATAAGGATAATATGGTCTTACGGTGTTCAATAGGGAACATAGCACAGATAGCACAACCTGCTTCTCTGGGCAAGTAGCGATATATGTGATGGCCTTCACACCTTGTACAGGAAGTAAGTTTACCGACATATACATGCTCTGACTGGTTAAAGTCAAGAGCAACCTTAGAATTTCGGTGCGATTGTTCTCGAACTCTTTACTCGTCCCGACGGGTGTATTGCACCCTACTCCGCTTTGCCAGATGGCATATGATACTTTGTTCTTGGCATTCTGTGGTTTTGGGAGGGTAAAGTCTGCGAAGAACAACAAATCGATCAATGTGTCGATCAATTCTTCTGCCAATGGTTTGACTTCCTCGAACTCTTGCGCTGCGGCTTCAAGTTTTTGTAGTTCTTCCTGGGACTCGTCGAATATCACATCTCGAGCCAAAGCTGCCTTACTACAACACAGTCAGTGACTGAATCCATATTGAACTGCGATTTGGTACCGTGTCCGTTTCCTCCTTACACCCCAAAAGAATGTTTCTTCCCATGATTGTAGTCTCTCGGCTTCGTATACGTATGGTAGAATGCGTGTGAGAATTCGAATGCAATTCAAGGCATCTCTTTCTGGGGCAAATTCCGGATGAGGGAATGAGGGGTGATGGCGGAGAACGAAGAGTCGACTTGTTATCGCTAATATCAGAGTCTCTAGATTTTCTAAAGCCGTGTCGCGAGTTCTTCGAATATCTGCCGGAGAGAATAGACTGAAGATGTCTTCTGTGGATTCTGGTAGCTCCCAAAACTAAACAAGGCTCAATCAGTAACAGCACTGCTGAAGAGATGCGATCAGCTTACAGAAGCCCAGTATGGATCATCGGGAGGAATGATCTTGTCCTCTGAAAGCCTGAAGATACCCTTCTTAAATACTAATTTCGAGTCGGAAGCTCCCATCCTTAATTGTGCCTTGCATCTGAAGTGTATTTAGTCGTGGCTCGAAATATAAATGTTAAGCTTCTTTGTATAGGTCGATAAGATAGCCTTCACATTGGCCTAATCTTCACGTGCTAGCTAAGATTCATCAGTAACACAAAACCAAACCCTAAAATTTCCTAAAACTACGAAATAGCTTCCGCGCCATATTGCACCATTATTTAAGGATTCAATTGACACAAAACAACTCGAGGCAAACTGACAATTATCCGGGGTGAGGTTTGGTTAAGTTATGGAAATTGCGGGACAGGTGAAACTAACGCGGGGCAGAAGGATATATATCCGAAATCCACTATGTCTAAGGTTTATGTATACAGTCGGGCATTCCCCGAATTTCTCCTTCCCTTCTCATAAAGCCATTTATTGTTTAATCCTACACTCGATGTTTTCGCACCACCCAATGGACTCGGCGTGCCAGGCGTACCAGGCTCACCTATCGATCGACCCAGAGGATTTGACGAACCATAAGATGACCTCCGGTTGCCACTTCCACCCATCAAGGTCTTCTGTAACAAGGGACTGGCACCTGGCGAGTGAACTAGTCCCAGTGGATTTACCAAACTCTCCAGACCATCTTGATTGTGCGGACTCTCAGACCGTTTTCCGGAAGGACTTTCAGAAGCTGGGCTTCCTCTCCTGCTCGCAGGCGAGCTGCTCAAGGGTGACGACGTCCTCCTATATCTCGGTGGAGTCACATACTCCGACCCTGGGGTAGGCGGTCTTGAACTAGGTTTCAATCCAAGCAATTTTCGTTGCGCAGGTGTCAAAGGGATATCTTCCATGTTGTCTCTCTTCGTATAGAATGGGTGAAGTGCGACAACAATGTTGAAAATTAGGCAGAACTCTATCGCCCGAAAGCTCCAGGACGCAACCGTTGGGAATGTTCCTTCGCCAAAGAAGTAACCAGGAAAGCTAAGGTCGCAATTAACACATGCCATCAAATCATGATCCTGATGTATATACATACGTCCTCCAAAGCGTTCGACCCAGGTACCATAACACAACAAAACCCACGCCATTCCATAAAAGCGTCCTCAGATTTTGGTCTGTGAAAGTGGCCGCACTCTGTCGTTTTGCAATTTCATCGAATTTAGGGTGCTTCCATGTGCCAGTCTGGGGTGTAGAGGGTTGCGGTTCTCCAAATCCCGACTTTCCTGCCGACGCCGGTGACGACCGTTGAGCTGCTGGTTTCGTAGGAGTGCGTATCATTGTAGACATCTTTAATATATTCGCAAGCTTAAAATCTTTGCTGGAAGTCTGGTCGTACCGGTACTATTAGCAAGCTGTGGATCTCAAATCAAAGTGTCAACAGAGGCTTTGGATCATTTAACTCACTTTTACGTTGATATTAAGCTAATCTTGCCCGATCCTTATAGGTTAGTATAATTTCAATTGAATTAATGAGTAACCCTATATTAGCATTGTTGTTTATCGAGAAGTTTATCGAAGAAATAACTCCTTTCTTTGTTCGTTCGTATAATTGTTTTGATCAGGAATTCGTGAATTCTATTCAAGCTCTATCCGCGCTTCTAGTTTAGCACTAGCGCAACTTATAACCCCTGTCAGCTGATTGGTTTAGTGCCGGACATCATCACCCCGCCCCGTCTCCGTCACTCTTCTCCAAATACCCGCCCGTGGACTTCTCTGAAGTTGTTTGAACACACCAAAACACTTGACAGCTTTAATACGGTACTCATGAAGATACTTTACACTTATTTTTACAATTACAACTCTTAATATCTTTCAAGATGGGGTTCGATAATTTCATGCTCTATGTCGACGAGAGTATTACAGGTGTTCTCAGCGATTGGGATATTTATTCGACCTTAATTGTCACGGTTTTAATCGGCTTTTTTACTTACACAGTGCTAACATCTCGCGATCCGGATTCACATCCTATGCTCTTAGCCCGTCAATCACAAGCATCACCAGTCAGACAAGAAGGACAGTCTGCCATCTTCAGAAATCATACTTCCCCTCATGGCATACCCCTCAACTCAGGACTCAACGTTAAAGACCCTGGTGACTCGAAATGGACCCCAGGACGTAATGGAGATTTGAGAGATATATGGCGCAAGGCAGTCACTGGAGCTATCGATAGAGAAGGAAAGGAGACAGGAGAAATTGGTAACCTTATGACAATATATGGCTCCGATAAACTCGTCACTCACAAGCTTGGTTTGTGCACCTGTGTTAAGAGGATTAGCACCTTCACCTTACTAACTTTGATGCAGCCGATGTTACTCGCCAAATCAACTTGATTGGCCAACACATCAAACAAAATGGAGGAGCCAACATTGCCATTTACCTACCAAACTCTATCGAATACCTCGCAATATTGTTCGCTTGTGCCTTCTACGACCTTAGTGCGGTACTTTTACCATATGACGAGTCTCCCGAAAGCTTAATAAAATTGATACAAAAGTCTAAAGCGGATACAGTCATTGCTGCTGTCGGCTCTTTCCCCTTTGATGTGGTGACCAAGTCCTATCCAGCTTTGCAGCAAATGATATGGGTGGTGGATGATGGTAGCAAGCATATGGACTGGAATGAAATACCGAAAGGCACTGGTGGAGCGGTAAATGTTTCTACCTGGCATGAAATTCTCCAGGATCAGGAAGCTCATGCAGGATCTGAGCTGCCTGTGATTGACAAGAATGGCAAGGAACCTAACAAAGTTGTTGTATTCTGGCCTAATGGAGAACTCGTTGAATATACGCAATCAGTATTGGTGGCTGGAGTATCGGGCCAACTATCCTCTATACCCACGGTTCAGCGGGTTACATCGAAAGATCTCTTCCTCTCTGCGGAACCACTCTCCAAGATCTATCCTTTAGTCTTAACTCTTTCAGCACTTTACTCGAACGCTTCCATAGCATTAACGTCGGTTGCTACCAAAGATCCTGATCTCGTCCTAGCAACGAAGGGTACATCTCCTACGATTGTTGTTGCCTCTTCCACCACTCTTGCAAAGCTTCATGCCGAAACTAAGGATAACCTAACTTCACCACTCTATCAAGTCATTCACTGGTTCCAAACTCGATCTTTAGTACAGCAGGGTGTTATGCCTCTCGCCACCGTCTTCTCCCGTATGTACGATCACCTTCGTCCAATCATTGGCACATCGCCTGGCAAACTTCGCCTAATCTACGTTTCCGAACCCATTGGCGCTCCTTCAACACCTTTGAGCGCTGAAATGCTCTCGGATCTGCGTATCTACACAGGCTCCAGAATCATCTACGCTCTTACAGCGTCAAAGGTCGCAGGTGCTGTATCGCAAACTGGTATTTACGATTACAGAGTAGACGATGGTTCGGAGAAATACTCGCACTTCGGAGCGCCTCCACCATCCGTTGAAGTTTTTTTGAAAGATACCAAGGAGTATCAGACTTCTGATACATCTTCCGTTGGAGAGGTACAACTCCCCTTTATTTCCTCCTTCCAGTTGATCCTTTCTTCTTATGTATGCACTTCCGCTAACAACCAACAATAGATCATAGTAAGAGGCCCCGCCGTCGTAGGAGAAGAAGCGGACTTGGGTATTGCAGGAAAGATAAAACCAGATCACACGCTTGCTCTACTCTCATGATGCACTGTATCGTTTGTTGTGTATATCGATCAAATTATATTTATACCATATCTACCATGTCAATTAAAACTATATTCACAATCAAAACTCCCAGCATCCGAAATTATCACACCACAAGTTTACCACTAGTATAGTTCAAGCTATTTAAATTCCCATGTCTATAATCAGCCTTTTGTTGCACACCTAGAAACTTAGCTTTCCCATTAGCTCTGTGGATTATGATAACTGCATCAACACTAGTACCAAAGTTAGCCACTCATCAAAGCCATATAATTGTTTTGTTGCACACCTCAAAACTTAGCTTTCGCATTAGTTTTGTTAGTCCTGCAGTAATCACAAAGGAATTCTCCACTGTAGCGGCGTTTGGGTTACTTTGGTTGCACACCTGAATTTTTAGCTGCTATATCATGGTATGGGTATCAGCTGTTATATTTGATTTTGATTTGCAAGCGGCCGGTGGGTTGGTTGGTTGGTTGGTTGCAGTGTTGGTTGCACACCTAGACACTAATTTAGTATCACTATAGTATAGCTATAGCTTGTTTATAATCCTGGCTAGTAGGCCTGGCAGGCGCAGGTAAAGACGTGGTTTAATGTTTAATTTGAGAAACACCCTAGTTTAAGGGCGCCTCACTAACTTGCTAACTTGATGGGCACAGGTTAGGTTGGCACACACGAGCTGGCACTAGCTGGCGCGAGCTATCCAGGAAAGTGAGTAAGGCTAGGGCTGAGGCTAAGGCTGAAGCGAAAGGCTAAGGCTGAAGCTACTTGAAGCTAAGGCTGCAGCTAATGGTAATGCGAAACAGTTTCAAACACAGGGATAGGGATAGGGATAGGAAGAGGATAGGGATAGGGATGGGGATGAATTCAATCGATGGATCTAAATGAGATTTTCATACTCTAGATAGGAAAGTGTTTTGCTATTATAAATATTCAAAACCACCGCTATCGCTTTGTAAGGATCTATCTATCTTATCTTATCAACTAATTATATTACTTGGATTTCTGAAATTTTGATGAAAATCTTTGTTTTTAATCTATAATATACAAGCTTGGCTCCGGCCCCTTCAAGATCTAAAAGCTCTAAAAAGACCTCCACCTTTACTCATACTGTATAACTATAGAATTATACTATTTATTAAACTCTATTCTTAATATATCTTTAATATAAATATAAATTTTGAAGCTATTCAAATCATTTTCTTTAAATTTTGAAAAAGGTGATTTGTATATCAAGCTTTAGACTAAAATATAAGATAGATTCAAGTTCTGAATTTCGATAAATTCTGAATTTTGAACTCTGAACTCTGAGTCATCCGCAAAATATTTCCTCTACTTTTCGGCGCCACCAGTGCCAAAAACACTTCAGCGGTTTTGTGATACTCGTCTAATTACGGTATTAACTAGTGTACCCGCAAATTTTTTATTAATGCCACTTTGACAGCTTTGATAGCTTTGGCAGTTTTCGATAAATAACGACGTCAATA